ATATATACACACACACGCACGCACGCGTGTGCGTGCGTGTGTGTGTGTGTGTGGCTAAAATCAGGGGTTGATCAGGAAGCTCAAAAACATTCAGCACAGAGGCTACTTAATTCACTTGTTAGCAGATAATTACAAATAATGTTGGAGTTAACAGGCAGCGTGTGATAGTGGTAAGAACCAGACAGCTTGGGGCGCATAGGTGGCTCAATGGGTTAAGCTTCTGCCTTCGGCTCAGGTCATGATCTCAGGGTCCTGGGATTGAGCCCCACATCGGGCTCTCTGCTCAGCAGGGAGCCTGCCTTTCCCTCTCTCTCTGCCTGCCTCTCTGCCCACTTGTGATCTCTGTCAAATAAATAAATAAAATCTTTAAAAAAAAAAGCAGACAACTTGAATTCAAATTCTGGCTTCACCTACCTGCATGACTTATTGTGTGCCTCCATTACCTCATATTTAAAGATGTAATAATAATAGAACTTTCTTCATAGTGTTGCAGTAAAGACTAAGTGAATTAATCTGCTTGTCAGGGAGCCTAACAAAAGTAAACACTCAAATTTCTTCATCATTATGGTATTTCATGCTTTTGTCCACAGGGAATCTGTTCTCAGTATAGGCTCCAATTTCAAAGTTAATTTTCTGTCCAAAAGAAATTCCCAATTACTATAATGTAACTGTAAACATAGACATTGGAATAGAGTTAACTAGTCAAAACAATGCACACTCAGATTAGAGAGTGACAGAGTATAGAGTACACCAATAATACAGATATTACTGAATCAAGATAATACAGATATTACTGAATCGTGAAGCAGAAATGTTAGTGTGTTGCAGGAAAAGTAGGCTTTCTCACCAATACAATGACAAAGACTATCTTAACATAAGTTATAAGCAAATGTTGAATCACCCATACAAAAAGAATGTCCTATGTAAAAGAACACTGGGCATGCAGAAAAGCACTAGTATAGTCGAGACATTGTAAAAATGTTTTATAAACAAATGCATCCTGAAACAAAACAGATGATTATGTTATTATCATAGGCACTAATTTCACAAGAAGGAACTAGAACATGATGTCAGATTTCTACTTTCAATAGTTTATTGTATAATACCTATAGTTTGCTGAATACATTATATCTAAGATCCTATACATTTCTTATTTTAATGTGTAGGTAGGTCTTTCACAGATAATGTGTTCTGTCTTCTTCAAATTCCTAATTAACCTCTCCATTTCAATTACTGCTATACATCATTGATTCTCAACTAGTATATACCAAATCAATAGCACCTTTTTATAAATTATCCTTGCCCTGAACCCTGTACCCAGAGATTCTAATTCAGAAGATGAATGATGGGACTTAAGCATGTCAATTTTCTAACAAAATCTCTATGGATAAGTTTTGGATATCCTTCCTTACAGGCATTATGGCCATACTCAGGATAACATTTGCCAAATGATGCATAATCATTGCTGAACCATCTTTACCAAGCAACAAGTTTACATATCATCCAGTCACAGGTTCTTAAGACCGGAAAGAAACTTCTAAATAATCCCATTCAACTATACACCCAGTGCTTCACCCAACAACTGGTTCTCTGACCTATTGTATCCCACCTCATCCAGTGATGAGAAAGCTATTTGATTTCTGCCCAAGAAAAACCCCTTGTAATTATGTGTGGTGATAGTGATGGGTATTATTGGACCTATGCAGAGATCATGTTGCAATACATACAAATATTGAGTCATTATTTTGTACACATGAAATTAACAATTTTTATATGTCAATTACATACCAGTAAAATTTTTTAAATGTCTTTAAAAGTTTTGGGGACCTAGGGGGCAATAAAATACACATGCATATAAAATATATTAACAGGTCGAGGCTAAAAATAAACTCACCAGAACATAATCTCTTCATTTACTAACAAGGGACAAATAAAATCAAATTAGGCTAAATGATCATTATTTGTTTTACTTGCTTTCTTCCCAAGTCTTCTCATCAACAATATTGTAGAGTAAATACCCAGACAACAATATGGCAAGAAAATCCTATGAATTTGGGAAGTTTTAATCAAGGCAAAGCATATTAGAGGATTAAAAAAAAAGGAACTAATTGTAGTAGGTTTGGGTAGAGAGCTTATTAATATTAAACTAGTTCTCTAGATATTTAGTGTTTTAGGAATTAGAATAGATGTCAAATGCTATCCTAGGGCGGACTGATCCTGAAAGCATTTTTTAGAATGACATGACTTAAGGAAAGCAATTCTTAATTTGATGGGTCTCTTAACCAGCCTATTTCTCTTTCATTTTCTGGTGGAATACAGTTGTAGAATGGATGAAAAAAAACAAGACCTATCAATATGCTGCCTAAAAGAGACTCAGCTCAGACCCAAAGGCACAAACCGACTGAAAGTGAAGTGATGAAAAACATTCAACATGTAAATGGAAGCAGAAAATTAAAAAAAAAAAGCTTCAGTAACAAGACTTATATCAGACAAAATAGACTTTAAAACAAAACTGTAATAAGAGACAAAGATATTACAAAATGATAAAGGTATCAACCCAACAAGAGGATATAATAATTGGAAATATCTATGCACACAACACTGGAACACTTCAATACATAAAACAAATATTAACAGACCTAAGGGAGAAATTGGTGCAAATACAGTAATACTAGGAGAGTTTAACACTCTACTTACATTAATAGATCATTCAGACACAAAATAAATAAGGAAACAATATCTTGGAATGATACATGGGTCATGTTCCATCATCATCTTAGATAATATAAATTCCCACTTTCCTCTCTGTTTTCTGAAGCCTCCCTTCCTGGGGCTTCTATCCTTCTGCTTTCATCCATATATTTCTATCACCCCCTATGCCTGCTACACAGTACTCATCTTAAAAGTGCTTTGGATGGAGCACTTGGTATGGTGCATAAACAATGAATTTTGGAACACTGAAAAGAAATAAAATAAAATAAAATAAAATAAAATAAAATAAAGGAAAAAAATAAAAAAACTAAACTGTTAAAAAAAATGCTTTGGGTAACCCCTACACTGATTTCTTGAACCTGTCTCTTCCTTTTTGTTGCATTTGCTGGGACATATCCTCCCATACTT